CATATAAATTCAAATTAATATCAACAAATATTCCACGAGGCCAATTTAACATATATGCAGTATTTCCAGGAGTACCTGTTCCAGCAGCTATTTGTGTCATATTTCCAATACTCTTAAGAGATATTTTAAGAACTATATGAATATTAAGAGAACAATATAAAGTTTGATTAATATCAATAAATAAACCATAACATCTTCCACCATTAAAATATGTTACCACAGTACTATTTGTTGAATTAATCATCCATTTGTCAATTTGATTGTTTGTATAACCATTGTCAACATACACATCACCATTATTTGATACAAATAAACCGAGTGAATCATTGAGACCACCAGATATTGTTCTTGTTACATTTTTTGATCCGTTTTGCCATACTTGAACACGATTAGAAGGTCGATCTGTTATATAGATTGTATCATTTTTGTCAATGAAAACGGTTCCAGGATTTGTACCAACTACAGAACTGTTTGCAAAAGTAATACCCGTTATATTCCATGTTGCACAAGGACTGAATTTCGGTTGATTAACTAATACACCTATAGGAATAATATCATTATAAGTTCCTGACCTCTATTAATCAATATTTACCTGGATTTTGACTATTGACCAACGTAATGTATAAACAAAGATAGAAATAGACAACAGGTAATACCATCATGAAAGCAACTATTGTTCTTGATCGACGATTGTTTTACTAAAGAAATAAAAGAAAAACAGTTAAAGACAAAATTATAAATCAACTTAAAAATACTGTTTAAAGTACACAACGCAAGTGTAAAACAAAATTGTTTGTTTGTGTTGCAACTACTTTCAACGGTGTCTTTATATAGTTGATATACAGTCTCTCAGAGAGAAATAAAATTTTCTTTCTGAGAGCGTACTCAAAGACATGACTTATTTAGCAATTCAGTCTTTACATTTCATACAAAATATTATTTTCATAATTATGAGATAAAAGCAAGGTATATATCTTATGTAATCAGTGAAGTAGAAAGAAGAGTTTAGTAAACAATATCAAAACAAGTACTGTAAAATAGTCTTATATTCGGTTAAAGAGTAAAAACTCATTTTGAAATATTTTAAATAGATATCTATGTCAGTGTTCAAAGCGAGATTATGTTGAATATCGGATTGAGTAAAATATTTTACTTTTAAGAACTTGAACTAGTTTCGAGATCGACATTATATTCTGATTCTTGTGGATAAATTGTGTTGAGACTATAATCAATTAGCAATGAAAAAGTTAATTTTAAAGTCGAAGATTTATGAGTAGTTTCTCACAAAATTTAGGTATATGAATATGACATCGATTCAGTAAGAAATTAAAGTTTCTATGATATATTTTTTTTCAATCCCAGATTAGACGCTGATATATATATTATGAAGAATTATTTTCATACTATGCATGACTAAACTAAAATTTAATTTCTATGAATATTTTGTAATCATTTTCAAGCTTATTACTACTCCAAGAAAATAAATATATTTTTACAAAAAAATAAAAATGATTAATAAAAATATTTCAGTAATTATACTTGATATTTAATAAAAATTGAAAGATTAGACTAATACTAAGGAGAAAAAAAGAATCAAACTAATAGTTATTACACAATGTGTTGAAAACATTTTTATATTTTAAAATATTTTCTACCACAATTAAGATCCTGTTGATGGCAAAAATAGGAATAAATGGCAGCATTTAAACTGAATTTTGAAGTAAACGTCAAGATTATATTATTTACTTAAAATTATGTTAATAATTTTTTTATGATATAATTGTTTTAGAATCAGTATGAGTGAAATTACACATAGAGATCCATTTTCAATCACGTTTTCCTTCGTTAGATAGTAGTTTGAATAAATTAGTTGAAACAGAAGATGGTGTGAATATCACAAGATCTTTTCTTTCTTCTTGTGCACGAGCAATAAATAATTTATCTCTGTCCTTCTCTGCGAGCAATAAAGCATTTTTTCTTTCTCTTTATCTACAAGCATCAAACAATTTATCGCTGCCCTTGTCTACGAGCAATGAAACAATTTCTATCGCTCTTCGATTATGAATATAACTCTTTTTTTTTCTATAGATTCCTCCTTCCTTCACGATTGATACATATAAAGCTGAAGTACGGTCATACGATTTAATATTACTATTTATCTACTACTCATTTCCACTAGCAAGCAACAAATTACGATAATGCTAAACATCAATCAAAAGGTTTGTTTGGTCCCCATGTTCATGGGAACACTTTATTTAACACACGCAGCGGCAATTCATCATTCGGTTGCAAACAGCCATCTCGACCATTTAATCAACAAACGTTCGGCTGAAGCTTGTTAGAAGTATTCATTTTCAATGTGATACACATGCAAATCAGTGCCTCATGAAATTGACTTCAAAGTGAGAAAAATATTTGAAAATTATCCTCCTGCTACTGAAAAGTATCCATTTGCAATGTTGGTGTCATTTATACTAGCACTTGTGGAAAGTAGCTATTGGACATGCGAGATATTTGGCAAGCACTCTATTGTTGTTACCCATGTGTATTAGTCATGAGGATGAGATTGAAAATATTTAAATAGAATGAGTTTATATAAAATTATCACCATGTACAAGTTGAGGAAAATATATAATAATAAATAAATTCTGTTTGATTTTTTATAAATTTTTATGTTTTTTTAATGTTTTGTAAATAAATAAGTATATGAAAAAGTTAATAATAAATGAGTGAATAAACGAACAAATGAATACGAAAATAACGAATACATAAATGAATAAATAAATAAAGTAAAGAAAATAATGCGAGTATATCGTTAACATGAAAACCACCTTGAGAGTGTGAGTATTACATGAACCTTACTCTGACACCCATCCCATATCCTTACCTTCTCCCACACCCACACTCACACTCTCAAGATGGTTTTACTGATCTTGTTGAACACAATTTAAAAGAGAGTATTGAAGTGTCAGAGCAAAAATTTTAGATCCAATCTCATTGTAATATCTGTGTTATACTATAAGCAAACAATCAACCGATTCTATCATAGCTTAATTCTACACGAAAAGAAAATGATATAATTCATAATTTTGTTAAATAAAAATATTTTTCCTACCCTCTTCAGTAGAAATTGTTATCCATTCTCCTAATAAGATCATGGCATGGTTCTTCTCCATTGACACATTCTTTAAGAATTTGCTGTACTCTTGGTATTCAATTTAATCGATCAACGAGAAGAACTTCAGCAATATTGAACGAAATAAATCAACATTGCGTTTTTCAAGTTGAGAACGGGTGAGGATAAGAGTGTACATAAATAACAAGTACTTACACCTTCAAGATATCGATCTATTATCTATTCATATAAAATGACTTTTATTTTACAAGAAAAATAATGATCATTTAATATACATAGAAATAGTATTGTCATTATTTAAGCCATATTCGAATATGATTAATACACAATGGATGTCTAGTTATTACACAGGTTGGTGGTAATTGATTGATCATCCATTGAATATCTTCATCTTTGCATAGGATAGTTTCATCAGTAACGTTATGACGCATTCTTGAAGGCTCAAATTCATAGATCTTTTCATCCGTAAAACGAGCACGTAATGTACAAAGATTGGTCATGTTTTTAACAAGAATAATAATACTTTGACAATTCTTCACTAAAATGTTAAGTTGTTCACAGTGACTCGTCAATGATGAATGAATTAATATAGTACAGTCTTCTTCATTGAAATAATGTTTGCAATTTTCTAAATGCAAAGAATGAATGGATGATGGAAATGTACAATTAAGTAATGCCATTGGCAAAGGAAATGATGCATCTTGATGAATAGTCAACGTGCGAAGATGAGGCATTCGATCGAGAAAAGCTTGCAATTTGGATTGTGAAAAATCAGTAGACAAATGTAATGAAAGTGATGAAACTTGATGTAAATTTGAAATCATCGACCAGTATTGATCATTAATAGGACATTTTACTGAAAGAGAATAAAGTTTTGGAAAACAAATCTTCGATGCAATTGATTGATTGGAAAGTGTCACATCCGAGATACTATCCATAGTAGTATAAAGTCTTTCAATATTGTCTTGTGAATCTGTTGATTTGAACACACTAGGAAGATTTTTATCAATATAACGAAATGCTTTCGACACAGTCTCAAAACGAATACGGTTTACATCACTCATACATCGAACAAACCACTGATGTTCATCAATCCAAAATGAACTTCGAAATGAATTCATTAATTCATCAATTCGTTCCTCTGTCATCAATTGAATACTAGATAAATGTGTCATTGATAAGTGAAATATTCTTAGTTTTGGTAAATAGTTTCGTATGAGATCTTCCCATTGATAACCATCAATGAAATAGTAAGTTGCTATTCTAACGTTCAGACGATGTAGATTCGGTATATTCCGTAAAAATGAGATGATTTTTGATGAATGAGCCGCAATAAGAATGTTTAAATTGGTCAATGATAAAAAAGACGATCCTATATAATCATCATCATCGTCAATAGAATAAATATAAGCGTGAAAATATTTGAGATAAGGTGTATGTTGAAACAAGCGATTGATCGAATTCAAACTTAATTTCTCGGTATTGATAGATAAATATTTGAGAGATGACGAGATCTTTGACGGTGTAACAAATGATTGTTGTCTTTTCCCATGAATAACGAAATAACAATGAGTTAAGTTTGGCAAGTCCCAAATATTATTCATCAGTAATTGAAAATCCGTTGCATCACAATCTGGAACACAAAAAGACTTCAACTTCAAATGAGTAAGTTGAATAAGATGAGGCAATTCAATGGTAACTTTTAGTAGAATTTCTTTTGAATGAAGATGAGATAATGAAAGCGAACGTAGATGAGTGAATTGTTTCAATGATGATCCATAAGAAAAAAATAGATTGAGTTGTCCTGGAGTTGACTCACAGTCGGAAAGATAAAGAGCAAAAATGCGATCACTGATCATTGGAATATGTTGTTGACATATTAGATCAAAACTACGTTTGAACAGTACGGAGAAATTGAAGTAATAACGGTAATATTGCTGGTAGAGAAGAGCATTGATACGAGCATTGAGACCATAGAATGTATGAAGAAGATCACCACCGTTCAAATAATCGAAGAAGGCAAGTAAGATTTCATTAGATAATAAATTAAAATTCATTCCTTTCTCTCTAATGCATATGACTCATCTGTATAAATAAGATATAGTTTAACAATGTCAGACAGGTCAAAATCATAGTAACAAACGATGGTATGACTAGTCTACAATGGCCGTCATGATTGATTGTGTTGATAAGACATATACGATACTGCATCGAACTAGTCCAGACTATTAATAAACGCTAAGAATGTGGATTTATCTTATTATGATGTATTTAAAATTGAAGTTAATTCATAGATTTTCATCTTAGGTTCTTCTCTTAATTTTTCTCCACTAAATCATTTTTATAGTTACAGTTTTCAATAATCTTGATTGTTTAAATATTTCATTTTTCAAACAAATATTCAATACTAAAATCTTAACTTTAGAAATAATTGAAAATAAGATACAAATAGAATGAAAAAACAGTAAAAAGTAACTGAAAATGATTGCGCCAATGTTATAAAAAAATTATCAAAATTACAAAGAAAAACAGTGTATCAATTCCACAAAAGTTTTTGATTCGTTATTTCAGTTCAAGTAAATCTCATAAGTACTTGTACTTTTTATTTCAAAAAGTACGAAAAGTTTAAGTACCAATACTTTCGTCCTAGCTCTGTTCAAATAGAAGCATTGACATGACTATTTCTTAACTCATAGATTTAACACGCATTGTCATGTTTCAACAAAATAGAATGTGACGTATTTTTAACTTATTTTTAGACTTTAGCTCTATTCTATCGCAAGCTCAATTGTCCTTCTAGAGGTTCTTTCTTCCTCCGATGTACTTTTTTTCATCAACAGCATCCATTATTTAATGTACAATGAAAAAGTCTCTGTAAACAAAAGGGAGAGCGTTGCAAGAACGAGAAAAGAAACGCCGCACATTTGTCACGTCTTTTGTTTAAAATTGTATGTATATATATCGTTCGCTCAAATTTAAAAAACAGAAATTTTTCTAATGTATTCATTTTTACTCAGTCTTATTTTTACGAATTTAGTGTAACGTAATGTATTTGAAACCAAAGTAAGATTTCTTTATTTTAAATATAGAGTTGAAAATAGTACATGGTTTTTTTGATTGACAAAAATTATTAGAACATCAAAGATACATTAGATTGACTCAAAAAATATATAGATAGAAGAGTTCATTCTGAATAGTTTCATAAAAGAAAATCTTTAATAATGATTTAGGTTTGACCATAGAAGTACATTTGATTCGTCATTTTGAAATAGTTAGTTCAAAAATGACTGAAAAATTCAAATATAAATTATTGTTGAAAGTGTTTTTTTATGAAACTGTTTAGAATGAAATTTTCTATCTATCTGAATCGTTAGTGTTCTTATAATTATGATCAATCCAAAAAAAAACATACACTATCTCCAACTTTACATTTAAAACAAGGAAATCTTAATTCGATTTCGAATAGAATACGTTGAATTACTTAAGGCATACCAAAGGTAATGACAGAAACAAGGTGAAGACGCATCCAGCTACTTATTCTAGTTTTCTCCCACGATTTTTAAGTCATGTTTAACAAACGATTGTTTTCCTTTTCAGAAGTTAGAATATTGTCGTATTCGTGATTCCGTTAAGTGTGAAGTAGATTATTACTGAGTATTTATGCTAATAAAATTGAAGAACTTTACTTAAAATGCTTTATTACTTTATTCACCATCGTGGAACTCTTCACAAATGCAAGCAATACTATGTCTATGGAATCATTTTAATGGGTTTCATAGTCATATTTCAATTTCATCATCGTTGTTTTATTTCAAATATGAAACTAGATTTACTATATTTGTTAAGGATGGAAACTAATTCAAATTTATTGGTACCCATGATCTATGAGCATCGTTCGAAAATACTCAATAGTAAATGCAATGATTTGCATACATCAGAAAATAATTTAACAAACTGTTCGTCTGCCAGTTTAGTATATACATATCCATGGCTTAATGCAGCTCTTTTTTCTCTTCAATCTCAATCTTTGATGTATTGTGCTATTCCAAAGATAGCATCAAAAACTCTTATTTCACTAATGATGTATGTTCATGTTCGTGATATTGTAACTCATCTCAGTAATAATCCGAAAAATATTAGTCTTAATGGAACTCGAGCAGAACAATTCATTGATATTCCTAGACTCATCGCTGAACTTCAAAAGGTATGACAAATAAATAAAATGACAGTATTTATATTTCAATCTTTCATTTTAGAATGGAATTTCAATTCCAAAAACAAAAGGATCGATTTCTTTTTCTTCATTGATGCAGACTTATCTTCATCTACTTCGTTTTGAAAGTATCAATAGTGCGTCTCCATCTCTATATTTCAATCCATGGAGATTAAATTTGAAAAACATATTTCGTAGTATGGATTTCAGAAGTGTATCAAATCTATCTGATATATTTTCTCCATCCTTTACTCGAATTTTGTTTGTTCGACATCCATTTGAACGCCTAGCATCGGCTTATAAGGAGAGAATTGCAAAACTCGAAAAAGATAGAATTCAACCAGAACCTTATTATGATAGTATTCGTAAGTTAATCTGTCGTCGATATACACACTTCCATTGGGCTGGAGATCCAATGGGAAGAGATCATCCATGTGAAAATTTTATTCCTCCATTCAAACATTTTGTTATATTTATTCTCACGAATACTGAAACATCTTTCGGAGTAGCTCGAATGGACGCTCATTGGCAGCCATACACAGTAGTTTGTCAAGTGTGTAAATTTAAATATAATTTTATTGGTAAATATGAAACATTCAACAATGATTTTAATTCCTTATTAAAACGTCTCAATGTATCTGATTGGAATAATGAAAAGCGACGTGGTGCATCAAGTCATAATACATGGGATTATCAACAATTGTTTTCATTCTTACCAGATGATCTTATCTGTCAACTCAACCGTCTCTATAGTGATGATTTACAGTTATTTAACTATCGAATAGAAGATT